GATCCATATTAATCTCCTCATCAAATGGTCATTTGGCTATCCCCTCAGTGACCTCACTTTTTATAAGTATGTGCTGATAGGTTAAGAATTCTGTCAATCTTTAGGTTCTGGTTCCTTTTTTGGCTTAACATTCCTGACTTTAAGTCATTTCTCTATTGCTACAGTTTACTATTAGCAATAGGAGGAGCCAACCTATGCCTATAATGTATTGCTTAGAAATTTCCTCAGCTCAATATCCAGTTTCATCATTTGAAATTCCTACTTTCCTCAAAACACTAGAACACAAACAATTCAGCTGAGTTTTCTGTAGCTTTACAGTAGGAATCACTTTTCCTCAAGTGCCCAATGTCATATTCCTTTTTCCATCTGAAACTCCACCAGAATAACCTTTACCATCCACATTTACACCAACATGCTCTTCAGCACTACTTAGGTACTGACTGAAAAGTTCAAACTGAGTCCTTAAGCACACTCTCTAGAGTGCCTACCAGAATCTCCGTTAAAGTCCCATTCAGAACAACATAGACTTTTTAAAGCACACATCTTGAAACTCTTCCAGCCGCTCTTCATTACCCTGTTCCGAAACTGCTTTCACATATTTAGGTACTTGTTACAACAGCATCCGACCCTCAGTACCAATGTCTGGGCCACTAGGGCTGCTAACTCCAATACCAGTGACTGCGTGTCTTCTGAACACCGCGTATTTGACCTTACAGTTCTGGAAGCTGGAAAATGCAAGTTCTAGGCACCAGCTAATTTGGTGTCTGGCGAGGGCTGGCTTCCTGGTTCAAAGATTGCTATCTTCTTTCTGTGTCTTCACCTGGTGGAAAGGGGAGGGAATTCTCCGGGTCTCTTCTCAGAACCCTAATTCTACTCCTGAATCAATCACCTTCCAAAAGCTTCAGCTCCTGGTAGCAACGCATGGGAGGTTCAAATGTCATTGTGTGAATTGGGGGAAGAACACAAACATTTAGCCCATAACATACCTCAGAAGTCTTCTGAAGATAGCGTACATATTTCCCCAATTCTTAGTTTAGACATCAAATGAGGGATAATATAGCGAAAGGCAAGGTAGCCGGGATTGAGGGGAAGAAGAGACTTTGGAGACAGCCAGGCCTGCGGTCCAGACTGTTACAGCTGTGTGGCCCTGGACACCCTGATGAGTTCGGAACCTGAAAATTGAAATGTAAATGCCCGCCTACTTCGCGCACATTGAGATCCAAATGGTGCTGTGTAGAGCGAGTAAAGAAAGCTCTTTGCACCCTGCTCAGCACTCCACCGGCCCCGCAGAAATGAATATTTTCTTTTTTTTTTGGTTTTGGTTTTTCTCCAGTACCGGGAACCGAACTCACGACCTTGCGCTTTCCAGGCAGGTGCTTTGCCGCTGAGTAAATCCCCAGCCCCCAAAATGAATATTTTCATAAACGGTTGCTTCCCCTGAATCTGGCTTTCTTGTTCTCAGTTTGGGAGATTTGCTCCATGCGTTTTAGCTGGGAGATCAGCTGGAAAGAAAGACACATGCCCTCTCAAAGAGCCACCTCCCTTTTCTATGGTTTGGGGTGCCCAAGGGGAAGAGGGAACTGGATGAGAATCTGTGGGTGCAGAGGACAAATCAAAGTTAGCAAAAGCACATCCAGTTAGTGATCAGAAAATGCTGTTGGGTTAAGGACACATCACCCATATCTCTATGTGCATTTTTAAAATTAATTTCCTTTTAGTGTTGAACACTTGCCATGTGCTAAGTACACACCATGACAGAATACAAAGACATAAAGAGATTACAAGATAGCTGGAGAGGCAATGACAAAGCCTTAAAAAGCTAAATGACAATACAGAACTGTAAGCGCTTCTACATAATGGATATAAATAAAAGGGCTGTGAATTCTGCGGTTTGCCTGCTTGAGGTTGGCCAAGGAAGAGACATTGTACCACTAATCCGGAAATGAAGGTCAAGAGATATTAAAACTTTTAGTTTTTGAAACTGTAAGAGGCCACTCAGTAGTAACAATGTGTTCAAAATCTGTTCTTGAACCTTAAAATGAATGATGTTGGAAATACTCAAGTAATAAAGGAAAAATATGTGTAGGGAAGTGGTACCCAAAAAGCCCCTAGTAGAACAGCATCACAATGGCCAAACATTACCAGAATGGACATATGTGGAGTGTACAGTTGTGCAAATAAGATTGCTGATAACGGGTAGTTGAGGACACCCAGGTATACAAGGTTGAACAGTGCCAGCCGACAATCCATGTCCTTCCTAGAACCTCAGAATCTGACCTTATGTGTGAAAATGGTTGTCCCGGGTAAACTAGTTGAGATAAGGTTATATTGGAGTAGGGAGGGCCCCTTATCCACTATCACTCGTGTCTGTGTGGGAAGAGCAAAAAAGAGACAGACGTGCACAGAACAAATGCCGTGTGAAGACAGAGACCCAGAGAGGGTGGCATGTGATGACAGAGGTAGACACGATGCATCTAAAGCCAAAGAATCAGAAGCTAAGGGGAAGCCTGGAACGACTTCTCCTGAAGCTTTCGAGGAGGGTATGGCCCTGCTAATACCTTAATTCTGGACGTTAACCCTTCAGAACTATCAGACAATAGATGTCTGCTGGTTTTAAGCCACCTAGCTTATTAATACTCTGTCAGAGGAACCCCAAGAAACTAGTATGTCAGGGTATCCTGCCTCTGTAGACCTCCTCCTCTCTGACTAAAGGATGACCTTACAACTTTCTAGACATCTCTGAGTTTAATCTTAGTCCTCTCTCTGATTCTACTTTTACAGTGACACTCTGAGATTTCTAACCCACCCCCAAAGTTTCTCTTTTCCACCAGACCCCTTCCACCATCGAGCAGGCTGGTTGGGTGAGTGTGGACTCATGCCTAAGTCTCAGAAAGTGGTGACATTGTGGCCTGTGAGCATCCATGTGACAGTCACTGCAAAGACCGAGTCACTTTCCACAGCTGGTTCTCTGGGCACAGCCTTGGGGGTACAGCTGCCACCAGCACCATCCCTGCAGAGCCCTGAATCCCTGGCTGGCAAAGAACAGGTAGTCGTGTCCATCCCAGCCCACAGTACGACCCTGGTAGAAAGATAAAATGCTCTGTAGCTCTCTGGGTCTTAATTTGCCACTAGCTTTACCCCCAGGGAAATTTCTCCATAAAAAGTATGTTTGGTTCCCTGGAAAATCATTGAGTTTGACTAGTTCTATAGCTCACATTTAAGAGAATCCAGGAACTGTCATCATAGTTTGTCATAAAAGGCCCAGGCTAGTGCTTTGGAAGAAATCTTTCATGGAATCCTCCATCATTTGACCTGATGCACTTAGCCTACCACTGTGATTGTACTGAGCCCTGGATAGAAATGCAGAGTTGTACGAGAGCCTCCTGATCCCAAAGTACATGATCTATTGGTCCCCATCCTTAGAATTAGAAGACACTGCTATTGCCAATTATATCTATTGGTGCAGAAGTAATTGGATTGGGATAACATGTGTAGAGCATATGTCCAACACAGTAGCCACTATCCACATGTCTATTTGAATTTAAATTCTGAATATTTAAATTTATCTACAATTTAAAATTGAGGTCATTAGTCCTACGGCCACTTTTCAAGTACTCGGTAGCATATGTGACCACACTGGCGAGTGCTGGTAGAGAATATCTCCATCAGAGCAGGGGGTTCTTTTGGACAGAGCTGGTATAGAGTTATCTGCCTTCCCAAGATTTCCAGCACACAAGGTCTCTTCCTCTTTTTTACTAAGTATAGTTTTTCTAAGACAAATATTGAGACTACTTCAACTCCATAGTGAGGTGATAGGATTTTATTCACTTACTATTAGAGATAATAAAACATGTCTATATCTAAAAAGAGGACTGTTTCCCAAATGTTAATGTGGGTATGAATCACATAGGGATCTTAGGAAACTGTAGGTTCTCATTCAGCAGGTCTGGGTGGGGGAAGGTAATTCTGCTTCACGTCAGCCCACCTCACCTTTCATAGAGAGGCATCAACAGTGCATGACTTGTGAATTTGAACCTTATTGCTGCACAGAGGGTCAGGGCAATAAGTGCACTAAGTGAACTCTATACAGAAAGACAGAAGCAAGTTAAAGGCAATACTCTCGTGGTCTAACACCAGAAGAGCAGGACCAACCTTCCCCACCCTGCTTCTTTAGTATGACTATGATAGAGTAAAGCAAAGATAAGCTATCAAGTCCAGCAGCATTAAGGCTGCACTCTGGAGCCACACTGTCCAAATTAGATTCTTGACTCCCCCACTTCCTGGCTCTGTGTCCTAATGCAAATTATCACTCAGTCTCTGGAAAATAGGAATAATGCTAGTACTTTTATTCACAGAGCAGTTGTAAGGACTCAGTGTATTTTATCTGCATTAGCAGATACAAAATGCTTAGAAAATGCCTGGCGTATCATAAGCATTGTTTGTGGCGGTTAACTCAATAAATGAATGCTGTATTCTGCTTATGGTTTATTCTAGACTAGATCAGTCGTATATTATTCAGCTCTAACGATAGCTCTCTAGTTCTGCTAGCTTCTCTTTGGTGGATTAAAGAAGGTGCAGGAGGTAGAAGACGATGTCTTTGATGGAAGGTTGGGTTCATAAAGCATCCTGGGTTTTGGTAAAAGTGAAAAGATGACAGCATTGAAAGGTGGACTCATAATTGACAGGAGTGGTCGAGGGAGGCCCAGTCAGCAGCGCTGGTGCATTTCCTGAAGACAGCAGCCACTTGACGGCACGCTGGCGACCTTCACTGAGTGCTACCCTTTTGCATGCCTCCTTTAAGGGAATGTGTTCCTACTGGTTATGATTGGCATTCGAGTCTACATGTGGAATTTGCAAGTTTTGTAGGATCTATCCCCCAAACATGAGACGTTTTCCTTCCATTTGTGACAACAAAATGTGTTTGAGTTATTGAAAAGAGTGTGTCACAGGCTTGTACCTGAGGTTGATCATTTGGTAAATTTTCTCTTCTCACCCCACAGCAAAGAGCCCAGCCAGCAGCGGGTAAAGAGATGGGGCTTCTCTTTTGACGAGATACTGAAGGACCAGGTGGGGCGGGACCAGTTCCTACGATTCCTGGAGTCTGAATTCAGTTCAGAAAACCTCAGGTAACTCTCTCCAAGGTTCAAACTGTGTGCAGAATGTGTGTGCAGGGATTTGCAAACTCACTCTCCACCTCTCTTTCTCAACAGATATTACTAGGGCTAAAATTCAAATTCCGGCTAATCTGGATAAGGTTGAAATGAAGAACAAATTAAAATCTGTAACTTTGTCACCACCATAATAGCACCTATACCAACATCAGCATTCTTTTTTAGTTCTGTAAGTCTAGAAGACATTGGTTTAACTACCTGGAAACATGTCTTGGATAATAATTAAATAGTCAAATGGGTCTGATGACACCATTCATTAAGTAAAACCAGAGAACCACGGAATTTGAGGATGGAGCAGCAACTCACAGCTCTCTTCTCCCAGACTTCCCAATCTGGGCCCCTGAATTCCTGACAAGTGAAACAGCAAAGAGAAGAGTCACCGGCTTATTTCAGAATTCCAGAAAGCCATGGTACATATCATTCAATAGCTGGAGATGTGACAATAGGAAGTATGATCTAACGACACAGTGAATGTTTGAATTGAAAAGCATGATTACAGCAAAAGTCACATTAACATGAATCCCCCTCAGAACATGCCTGTTTTCTTTGAACGCACTTATCCTATCGTTCTTGCCACTTTCTGAAGCGGTTCTGGAAGTTCTCTTTCATGATGTCTTTAAGAGATATGGCAAAGGAGATATATTTATATATAGTCAGTGCTTCTTCCTAGGGAAGGGGATCTAGCTCAGTGGCATAAGTGCCTGCCTGGCAACCACAAGGTCCTGAGTTCAATTCCTGATACCAAAAAAAAAAAAAAAGAAGAAGAAAGGCAAGCTTGGAAAAAAGAACATTGTAATGTGTCCTCATCCACCTTATTCACCAGGTCTGGCACTGTGCATCCACTGGTTTGTCCACCAAAGTGAAAAAGACCACGAAAGCTAAACATTTTGAATCAGTTCAGGACAACAAGGCAACTGAGACCACACAACCAAAGACACTCACAGAAGAGACCTCCCACACTTCTTCAGAAAGTAGCAAGAACCATAAGTGTGTCCCAAGTGGAGGGAAGTATTTGGAGGGGGGTTCATGGCAGTGTGTATATTACTGTAACCCATTTTTAAAAATTTAAACATTCACCATATTTTTCAGTCACACTGTATTCAAGCTAATTAGATCATGCTTCTTTTTCCTGTTGGGGAGAATTCTACCAACTACAGTGGTAATTATTCTAATCATCTGATGCCAAAGAGAACATCTGATTGCTTCTGTTGGTCTGTAGTGCTTTATGGGGAAAATATATTAATAATTACTATTTAACGGGGGGGAAGAACGCTTAAAATATGGGGTCCAATATGAAAGGAAAAGAAGGAGATATATTAAAGGAAAGAGTTCTTGATCATAAAAAAAAATTAGGGAATTTTGAGTTTATTCAGTTATTTATTGTGCTAGATGAAAAATCAGCCACTTATGGAAATGTGACTTATCTAAGACCTAGAGATTTTAGCAAACTAATGACTGCCATGGATAAATGGAAAATTCTCTCTCTCCCTCTATCTACACCCCCCCCCGGGTTCTCTTTTATTTATTGGATTAATTTCCATATTCTAGAGCTACTTTCTGAAAGAATTTTAATAATTTTTAATTTTTTTAGCTTCAGAAATCAGACCATAGCTGGGCATAATGACACATTTCTATATTCCCAACACTTGGGAGACTGAGGCAGGAGAATCTCAGGTTTGAGGGCTGTCTAAACCACATGGTAAGACCTTGTGTTAATAAATGAAAAAAGCGTAGCAGACACTTCAGGGAAAGTGCTATCCTCTCCAATCTTAATGTGCAAAATCCATGTCATACATTTGAAGGCAGGGACCACTTCAATCCCATACATCGATCAGGTGATATTTGTGACACCTCTGTGCAGTACCAAGCCCCACGGGTGTGGGCTGAGGGAACCAAGGCAGTCAAGATGCACGATCTTTGCCTGCAATAACTTTATAGCTCCCTGAGGAAAAAACACAAGAAACAATTAATTCTGTAGTGTAGTATAAGTAAGTGTAAACTCTAAAACCATTTGCAAGTATTTAAAGGAGGGGGAATCAATGTTAAGCCAGAGTGGGAAAATCATAAGCTAGACTTTGAAAAGTACACAAGATATTGATAGACCAAAAAGAAGCAGAGGGAGTATTCTAAGCTGGGAGACTGAATCAGCCAAGGGGGTCAGGGTGACTGTCCCACGTTGTGAACTCCCAGGAAGAAATGTAGATCCCAACTGCTATGGTTTATGTCTGTGTGTCCCCCCAAAGCCTCATGCGGCCATGGGGCAGGCTTTTAGAGTTTGATTATGGATGGGAGAGCTGCACCAGCCCTGGGGTGGATAGTTTGCACATGTAAGGGAGAGGAAAAGAGTGCTTGAGGCCATTCCTCCCCCATTCCGCCCTGGTGTGTGCTTGTTGCTTTTGCTGTGTTCTGCTGCCCTGAGCTGTAGCTCTCTGCCATGTGCCAGTCTGCCTTGTAACCTGCCAAGTATGGACTGAAACCTCCACAAACTGTAAGCAAAATAAACCTTTCCTTCCTTCATTTTGGGTGTCAGGTATTTTGTCCCAGCAGCGAGAAAAAAGTAACCAAGACACCAACCAACTGTATATATTGATACTTTTCTAGGCATCCCTGTCTCTATAATAAACCAGGTGTCTTGGTTACTTTTCTCTCATTGCTAAGACAAAATACCTGACACCCAAAATGAAGGAAGGAAAGGTTTATTTAGCTCACTGTTTATGAACGTTTCAGTCCATACTCGGCTGGCTCCAAGGCAGGTGGCACATGGCAGAGGGCAACAGTTCATGGCAGCAGAAGACAGCAAAAGCAGCAAGAGCAAAAGGGAGGAGCAGCAGGAAGAGCGAGCTTCTTTCCCTTCCTTACATTGTATGCAAACTACCCACTCCAGGGCAGGTGTAGCACTCATACCCACAATCCCAGCCCCAGGGATCAGTCATAAACTCTAGAAACCTGCCCCGAGCCTGCATGAGGCCTTGGGGGAACATCCAGACACAAACCATAACACCAGGCAAGATTGAATATCTTATTTGCAGGCTACACAACAGAGTTAGGTGTTATTCTAAACACATCTCAGGGCCTCGATTCAATTCCTATTGAAGTATTTGTAAGAAGCCTTGGCCTCTAGTTCTCTCCACTAGAGTGATGCTCAGGCCAGCCTCCCAGGCTCTGTGGGAAGCAGTCCCCTCCATGGCCACCTTGATGCACCAGAGGGCGCCTCTGCGTGGCCAGCTCAATCCCAGTTTCCACTTCCAGCACAGTCCCCGGGAGCCACACCTAGGAGTCCTTCTCCTCCCTGTCCCCCTTGGGTCTTCAACATGGAGTGGTATAATGGCCCTTTTACCTCAATATTTCTCAGCCCGCAAGTGGACTCAAGAGCCTGTGCCACCTGCACTCTTACAGAGCATTTCAAGAGTGACCACAGGGTCCCGTCCTTGCAGGGGCCCAGGAATGTCTACTTGCTCGGGCAAGCAGTCACCCCCGCAAGCACACACATCAACTCAGACTATATTCGCAAATGCACCACACCTCGGGTACTAAGTGCACCAAGGGGCGTGTCCCTGGCAGGTGTTCAGCAGTTCCTCATGCCATTACCACAGTTGCCTCTGCCAGCCCCATCCCTGGTACCACGAGGGCTACATTTCACCTGGGGCGAGAGAATGTGTGTGTGCCTCTGTGGTGCTCTGGCCCGCAGCACACGTGCATAAATCCAGACTTCAAGAGAGTCCCCCCTGCTCCACCACAGGAAAGAGGATAAAGAAAATGGGATTGCAAAAAGAGAAAGTATAGCCCAAGGGCTTCTAAAATCCTTTGGAGGCCAAGTTCCATTTTTATGGCATTCAACGTAATTAGGCACACAGAGGCAAGCTCGGTTTTTTTTGTTTTTGTTTTTGTTTTTGTTTTTGTTTTTGTTTTTGGTACCAGGAATTGAACTCATGACCTCAGCCTTGCCAGGCAAGTACTCAAGCCGCTGAGCTATAGCCCCAGACCACAAGCTAGGTTTTTGTTTTGTTTTTTTGTTTGTTTGTTTGTTTTGTTTTTCTTCTGGTACCGGGAATCGAACTCACAACGTTGCACTTGCCAGGCAGGCGCTGTGCCGCTGAGCTAAATCCCCGGCCATGCAAGCTCGGTTTTAAATCACACAACTTTAGGGCCCTTTGGTCCCTGGTCACAAAGTAGCTGCTTCCCTTCCCTCTGTGTTCATCCCTGTGGCAGCGGAGACTGGCTCAGTACCTGCCGTGACCCAGGTCTCAAGGGTTCAGAGCCGACCACATGTTACCCTTTGCCAGGGGAACGATGTGCGGACAGGCAGCGGCACCTCCACCGTGGTCTCTGCACTGTGGCTCCCCAGCAATGTATGGTGTGGCACAGCTTGAGGACCCTGCCCCTCTGCTGTGCTGGCCACTGCACTGGTCAGATGTGTGTCGCTGTGACCAAACACCCAAGAAAGTCAGCTTAGAAGAAAGGTTTACTTTGGCTCCTGGTGTCAGTCCAGGATCCATGGGCTCCCTTTCTTTTAAACCCATGGCAAAGCGAAAACATCACGGTGGTAGGGACGGTGTAGTGGGAGAAAGCAGCCTCATGATCCACTTCCCTTCTGCTCAGACCTGCCCCTCATTTCCACCACCGCCCATAACGCCATCAAAGTATGATCTCATCAGTGGCGTTAGAGCCCTCACGATCCACCTGCTGAAAGTCCTGCCCCCGAACAAATGAGAATTGCGGGGACATTTTCAGTCTAAACCCAAACAGCTGTGGCTAAGTCCTCATCCCTTCTGCCCAGGACTGATCAAGAGCCCAGGCTACTGGCACCCTACAAAGGCAGGAAAGGAGAGGCTGACGAGAGTCCCGCTGGGCACACCTCGGGGTGCCTTCTCACTTCCGCCTTCCGTCTCCCCACACCCTTCAGCGGAGAGCACGCTTAGACCTTAACACTTGTCCTCAGCACACGCAGTGCTGGGTCTGTAGCCAAGAAGCTGCGTTTAAGCCAGAGCTTCAGAATGAGGCGCGAGGAGCCCCAAAGCGTCAGCTGCATCTTTTAAAGAACGAGGTCTGTGATGATGGAATGTGATGGAAAGTCCCCTGATCATTTTGTTCCGGGTGAGTCTGTGAGATGAGCGAGAGCTGTCCTCTCCCGGTGACAGGGAGGGAGCATGGCCAGCCGCACATCTGCTGTGGCCATCTGTGGCAGAGGCTGCCTCTCTTTCCCTTTTCTAACCCACCCGGAGAGTCCAGTGCTCTATTCCCGCCGGCTTGGCCCGCGGAGACAGCTGCGTGCTGGGCACTGCTGGAACTGAATTAGCAACTCACCCACCAGGCAAGAGCCCTGCAGCCCTGAAGCAGGGAGTGCCGTGGAGCTGACGACCTCGTCCTCCCTGTTCTGTGCATTTGCCCAGAGGGTGACAGCTGCCCTTCACCACTCGCCCGCACCTCCACCCAGTCTGCCCTATGCAAATCTGCTCCTGCTTGACACCCTCTGCTGCACGGCAGGGGATGAGTTAAAAAGCAAAACCTGCAGCAAAGAGTGTCCCTGTACATTTTTTATGAGCTGTAATGTCTCCTGAGAGAATGGAGTTGTTCTTCTAACCTGCTGATTGATGATGCGAGCTCCACACCATGTCAGCTGAAGGGAGAAGCAATTAAAAGAGAGCACCGTGTGTGTGTGTGTGTGTGTGTGTGTGTGTGTGTGTGTGTGTGTTTGTGTGTGTATGGCCAGGTTTGCCTGCAGAGCGCTCTTCTAGCATTGTCCCAAGTCCTAGGAGACCTCAGAAGGTTCACTAGGCCCCGTGGGATCCCCTTCTAACGAAACACATGATGAATCAGAGCGGAGCAACCCCAACAAAGTTGTGACAGTCTGCAGCGGTGCAGCCACGGGCTGGGGAGCACAGCCCAGCGTGCGTGCGTGTGCTGACAGCGGGAGGGACCCGAGAATTCCAGCCCACGCAGGCACGGAGGGACGTGGAGCTCAGTCTATTGTTCTGAGTCTCCGGTTGACCAGTAGAGGGCACAGAAACACTTTCTTCTGCCGCAGAGTATGCTCTTCTCCGGCAGTGAACCCAACGCTGTATTTTCTACCCCGTGGAGATCCTAGTTTGTGAAAAGATAGGTAAGCTGAGGGGCTGCCCGGACCTCCCGGCAACCTGGAAAACAATCAGTGACTCATGAATTCTCTCACTCCTTCTGGTCGCAAGCAGCAAACCCCACCTCTTCTGCTCGGCACCAGGGAGAAAGGAGACCACCTGAGCAGCCCTGGGACCGCCCCAGAGTCCATCCGTTCAGCGTTCACCTGGCTTTGCTCCAGTGGCTTCTGAGCCTCGCTGCCCTCCCCCAGGCCGGCTTCCCCGCCAGACTTCATTTCCAAGCCGTCACCGCCCGGCAGATGCCGGCACATGGGCTGCCCGCCTCCTGCTGCGCTGGTGATCGGCAGCACCTCGGGCCGAGCCAGGACAGGTGGCCTCCCCAGTACTCTGGAGCCTTGGACCTGCCAGTCACCGTGACCCGCTGCTGCCAGTGTGGGGTTTAGTGCAGGATGGGTGAATTCCACGCTGCTGCTGCTGGCATTTGACTCCCCACCGCGTCCTCAGAGGAGCGGTGACTGCAGGCTTTTGATAAGGGCAGCAGCTTTGCAAGCCTCAGTGGGCCTCCCTGCTGCAGTGGCGGTGCGAAGGCGCTTTTGTGGCTGCCTGGTGGGAGGGGAGCGTGTGGCCTGAGCTCTGTGGGACGGGAAGATGGCAAACACAGCCGAAGCCTGTTCTGAATTTCAAAGGGACACGAGGGTTCTCGAAACTGTGATAGTAAACGCGGACAGGACGTCGGGATGCAGTGCGACAGCATTTCTGCTGTCACCTGGGAGGGACAAGGCAGCTCGTGTCCAAGGCTGACAGAGGCTGGGCTGAGTCCTGTGTTTGCAGGAAGAGGAGCTGCTGGGAGGGCAAGGCCCCTCCCCTCCCCTCTCCCCAACCCCCCCAGCCTCCTCATCACCCCCCACCCGCCAATTGTTTCCTCTTGTGCCTTTTTTTCATCTTGGATTTTTCTGATGAAGGGACCCTTTTCATGAAAAAGTGTATTAAATTTGGTTCTGAAGTTCGCGTCAACATCAGCTCCAGGCTTTCTCCGGAGCCAGCTGAGTGAAGTGTGTTCGTTTGGCTCCCAAACCCCTCTACACAAGGAATCTGGAAGCCTCAGGAACCGCAGGGGGTCTGCGGAGCCCAGAAGCTGCAGGGGCTTTAGGGCTTTCGGTGGTGCCGCAGGGACTGGAGATTTTCTGCTCAGAGCTTACTGGAGCAAGGGACAGAGATAACAGAAGGTGACGCCCCACGTGACAGGGATGAAGGAGGCAGAAAATCACCCGTGTGTCATCCATTTGAGTGAGAAATTGCAGGGAAGGGCGCTGGCCCAGAAAGTTCTTTGCAGCGGGGGATTGAGCTTCTCGGAGGCAGCGCCCGGGGCAGGGGTTGCGCGTGCGCTTGCAGAAGGCTGCTGGCTTAGGCCTTGGTCAGCTGCCCCTTAGCACCCTTTTCAGTCCTTCTTGCCGCACAGCTGGGCTTTGGACCTCCTCCACCTGCCAGTCAGACGGTCTCGCCGGGAGAAAACGCCCTGCAGGTCTCTCCTTGTCAGATGACCTTCTCCACCTCTCACCTCCCGGCAGACCTTCCAGGCCGACAGAGAGCCCCGAGGACGCCAGGGAAAGGGGCCAAGAGGCACGGGAGACGGGGGCATTCCAAGGGCTGGGCTGAGCTGAGCGGTGTGACAGGTTAACACTCCTCGCCAAGCTCTCAGGACTCTGGTTGAAGGGTCACTCCTGTTCTCCGGGCCCCTGGCAGCCTGGAGGCCGGGAGCCCCACGCACCTGCGGCGGGAAGGAGGAGGGCTGGTGCTGAGGAGCAGTGATGAGAGCAGCCAGAGCCCCTCACTTCTGCCCCACCCGCGGAGCAGAACGAGCTGAAACTTGAGGGGGCAAACTGGGCAGTACTGAGCCTGTGCCGCCACTCAGGTGTGCCCCTGCACGGCCCCGCCTGCGGCATTTCAGAGCTAAGTGTGGAGGGGAAGTTTTCCAGACCTGTTGCATCACTCATTTCACAGGTGAAGAGAGACACACGTAGAAACTACGGCAGTTCTAGAGAACGCAAACCACGGCCAGGGCCAGGACAGGACTGCACTCCCGTTCTTTGGGTCCTTCCCTCGTTCCTTGCTTTTCCCTTGGCTCTTCAAGATCAATGAGGGAGCCGTGAGCGTTTTCTTTAAGAAGATCGTTAGGATCCTGAAGGGCAAATCAGAGGAAAGGCTTGAGTGCAGCTTTTCAAAAGCAAACACCCGGGCACACCTTTTCCTGTGAAAATGGGGCTGCATTACCGCAGCCTGACACTGAGCGGCGCCTTCGAGCCATGCGCGTGGCTCCACAGACGCCGAAGAGCAACAGAAAAGCGTGCTTAATTTCTTTTTTTTGAAACAAGTACCTCCTACTTTGGGTGCAATCTGATGATGGATTTAATGCACTTTCCGCTGTGTCGTGCTTCAGTCTTTTCTGTCCTCCCCGTTGGTTGACTAAACTACAGGTGCTATTCCTGTGGCTCTGGGGTCCCCACAGCCCGGGGCCTGTTCTCCTGTCTCACTGGGGAAACTGGCCTGACCGCTACCCAGAGGCTCCCGTGTCCGCCAAAGGCTGCCTGGGGAACCACCCTTGGGATACGGGTGCTGCTCCTCCGGCTTTGGCTCGTGTGGCTGCCGCCCTTAGCAGAAAAGAGCTCATGGGCTGCTCTGCCAAGGCAGCTTCCCTGCGGATCCCGAGGGATTATGGAGAAGCAAATGGAGGCGAGCAAAAGATTTTTCTCTCTGGCACTCCCCGGAGAGGCCTCCCACGTGTGCCCATCAGCCGCGTTCCAGATAAGCCCACCTTTGATCTGAAAGTCATTCACTGCATACCTGCTATGCACCAAGCGCCATGTTGAATGCTGGTACTGTGAACGGCTCAGTTTCTCCATCTCTCACATGAATGATTTGTTCAGTCCGGCTCACGTATTCCTTATGATTCTAGGACTCTACCTGCTTCTGTGGTTTTTCTTCATTTTGATAGCTCCAGTTGAGATCCCAACCAGACGTGGCGAAGGGACTCACCTTGTGTAGGTTGCAGTGGTTCTCACGCGGTGATTTCTACCTCCAGGGAGACATGTGCGTTGTCCTAACTTGGCTATCCACCTCTGGCTGGGGAGAGACCAAATTGCTGCATAACCTCCAGCAATACCCAGAGCAGTCCCTACCCCCACCCGCCCTCCCCAACAAGGAATCCCCCAGCCAGAAATGACAGTAGTGCTGAGGTTGAGGTATCTTGATGTGGAGGAAGAGAAATGTGTTGGTCACCCAAACCCCATTGATCTTTCAACATCTTCCATCTCCGTCCTTCACAGCAGTGGAATAGTTTGTCCTTTTGGCAGTCCCCGTTGTCTCTGTGACCCTCGTAGTGGCATCGGGAAGGCTGGTGAAGAGGAAGAGGGTAAAGCAGCAGCTCTGGGGCCTCTCCGGCAGGGTCCAGGTGGAACTGACTGTCTCTGCTTCCTCTTCAGGTTCTGGCTGGCTGTCCAAGATCTCAAGAAACAGCCCCTCCAGGATGTGGCCAAGAGGGTGGGAGAAATCTGGCACGAGTTTTTAGCCCCAGGGGCCCCAAGTGCGATCAACTTGGATTCTCACAGCTACGAGATAACCAGTCAAAACGTCAAAGATGGCGGGAGATACACGTTTGAAGATGCCCAGGTTTGCTGACCCCTGCACATGGTTAGGCTATAAAGTGTTCCTTTGTCCACTTCACCACTCAGCCCCGTAACACAAGTCCAAGGCGTGATGAGTAGTCGGAATTTCAGGTTTTATTACTTATAAATCGGTTAGCAGAAAGCGTTCCAGATGGGTGCACAATAGCTTTACTGCACAGAAACAGAAATTTGTAGTCACAGGTGATCCTCAACTTATGATGGATGAGGTTGTGTCCTCATAAACCCACCATAAGTTTTTTTTTATTATTTTTTATTTTTTTATGGTACTGGGGATTGAACTCACAACCTTGCACTTGCCAGGCCGGCGCTTATACCACTGAGCTATATCCCCAGCCAACCCACCATAAGTTTGAATAGTATGTATTGCAAATGCACTTAATATGCCTAGCAAAGCTTAGCATACACAACACAGTGCAGAGTACCACTTGGTTCCATTCCTGAGCAGAGGGCTGACTACAAGCTGTAGCTCCCTGCTGCCCAGCATCTCCTGAGAGGATCACCCTGTGTATCTCTAACCCAGGAAAAGATCTGGATTCGAAGTACAGCTTCCTCTGAATGCCAATCCTTTATGCACCATTATAAAGTCAAAACTCATGAGGTGAAGACTGTCCATGATTTATGTCTTCCATGAAAACCTCAGAATGTCTAACGAAGCCTGAAGTCTTGTGATAGGTTGGTAGTACACTCTGGAAGCCATAGTTCAACATGAGGGGGTACGGTGAGCTGGCAGGGCCACAAGTCAATCCCACATCTGTCTAACTACGATGTCCACACTTATAACCACCCCTCTGCACTGCTTCCATAGGGATTCCAACTATGTGCTTAAAATTTTTCGAGCCCTTCTGCGTTCCAGGCCCTGGGCTATGTGATGGAACACCATAAAGAACAGACAAAAGCCCTGTTCCTCAGCAGGTGACGGGCTCATGTGATGCACAAGCAATGGGAGACTTCAGCAATGTGAGCAGGGCCCCAAATAAGTGAACTCTAGCGGGAAAGCAAGTTAGGACCTTCACAGATGTTGATGGCGCTGACAAAACAGTAGAAGCCACAGCAGCTACCCAAACAGCAGGCTTCATCTTGGTGCCTCAGAGGTGCTATTTCTAAAGATAGGCATCAGATCAGTTTCTTACTTCCTGTCCCCTAATTTTCAGTTCTTCCCATGTCCATGCTCGGTGACAGGGTGTTACAGCTCCACCCTACTCCTCATTTCCCCCACCTGTGGAGTCCCCGCTAAAGAATATGGGTGGTTTTCTCTCCCGCAGACATTATTATCTCATTTTGGAAACTTCCTGTAGCTATGCAGGTGCAAAGAATGGCATGGGGACACAACCAGTGTCCCTTGTCGTTTGTGCAGTGCTTCAGAATGGAAACGCTTACCACTCTGAATGCCTTCCCTATCTCTTCTCTCCCCGATTACGGACTCCATGCAGTTCCTGTCTGGGCGATTCAATTCTGCAGAGCTGGGTCTCTGCCTTATGAAATAACAAACCCCTCATGCCCTTTGCAGCTTTGGAGCAAAATGAATAATGTCACGAGAACTCTTTCTTTCTGATACATTTTCATATCCTTACATGTGTACGCTCCTGAGCACCATATGGATATGGCCCAGTGAGGAGGTGCTGGCGAAGCTCCATCCTGGGTGGATGATTTGAAACCCAAAGCTCACTCACTCATGGGTCACCAGAAAAGCAATGCTGGTCAGAACCATGATGTCCCCACGAGCACTATTGCTCAGAACATAACAGCATGGGTAACTTGTTTTCATCTTCTATTGTGGGAACTTTTAAATGTATAGAAAAATGGAAAGAGCAAAATCAGACACTTTTATGCCCTCATCCATCCTCAACTACCATCAGTACATAACTCATCTCCTTTTATCGGCATCCCCACGAACCTCTTCACTGAGTTATGAGACTGGCCCTTTACTTTTAACATGACCACAACTCCATTATCACAGCTTAACAATTATCTCTTAATGACATCAGATGTCAAGCACATGCTCAAACTTATGGCAGTTCCATAAATGCCTTTAAAAACATCTTTATTTAAAATCAGAATCCAGGTAAGTTGCACACATTGCAACCAACTGACATTTAAGTGTTCCTTAATCTACAGTTCCCTCCATCTCTGCTCCCTTCCCCCTGCCCCATGCAAAGTATTTGTTGAAAGAACTGGGTTCTTTGTCCTGCAAGGATTTCCACAGTCTGGCTTTTTCTCATTACAACTCTATGGTGCTGTTTAACATGTTCTTATATCACCTTTGTTTCCTATACATTGTTTGCTTGGTTTAGATGTTTAATCAGATTGAGGTTTAATTTTTATGGCCAAAGCTACTTCACGGATCTTGTTGTGCTTCTTTTCACAGGTGTGTGACATCCAGCTGTCTCTTTTTTCTAATTTTTGACAGTGCCTGATGTGTATTGCTTAGATCCATTTATTAGTTAAGGGCTGCAGAAAGATGATGTTCTGACCTTATTATTCTCACTCATTTATTAGCTGGAATACTTCCATAAAGACAAACCTCTCTACTATTTGATTAACTAGTCATACAATTCCTCGAAGTAAGGTGGATAAATTTTGATTCTTTCCCTTACAGTGTTTGCTAGTTTTGAACATAATGAGTGATTTACTATGATCTTCCTGACCAGTTAGGGTTTTTTGTTTTTGAAAATATATTTGTAAACTCATGAATTTAAACCTATTTGATGTATTTTAATCTCTTTTACTTATTATGTTTATTAATGCTTGGATAGTGCTACCTCTGGCCAGCTGATTCCTTCTGACATGACTTTAGTAGTCTTTGATGCTACCCAAAGCAGCAAGGAAACTAAATATTCAGGTTCTTCCCTAGACCTGAAAGAAGCCATTACTCCAAGGACCCCCAGCTCCTCTTAAAGGAAAATGATCTTTAGAGACTGTAGCCTAGATACTTAGGAGTGCTCATTTTGGGTTTTATTCATCATTTTCAGTGAATAGATTTAGGAAATATACCACTGTTGCTTATAATAAAAAGTACATCATGAGGTAATAGTGATGTTTTCACTTCCAATTCAGAAGTACAAGGGATTTCATTCAACCTCTTCTTTCTCATATCTGTGCCTCCTCTTTCTACGCCAAGGGTCTGGTTCTCAAGGATACCAAGGATCATATCATAATTATTCATTTTCTTTCTTGTGCATTATTACACAGAGCAGTCTGAAGGCCACCGCGACAGTGCTGGAACAACAGTATGATTATTGCCCAATTCTTTAACTGCTGCATAGCGTTCCATTGTGCAGAGGCGCCATAGTTTAGTCAGCCGGTCCTCCCTTCTTGGACACTGACGCTGTTCTTAGTTCAAGGGAGATTTGAGAGACTATGAAAAGTTGGCACGTTGCACCTTGACAAGGTTTTGAACATGCAGCCTTCACTAGGTTGCAGTCTTTCAGGTACCTCCATGTACGTTACATCCCATTTGCACAGCGGTGCTGTGAAGTACAAGATTTGAAGATCCACATAGATGTATCTTCCTCATTATCTGTTAGGATTAGTTCCCCATGAATTCAAATAGAATAGAATTCAAATCCAAACACTCTTCCTAAACCAATTCCTATTTTCATCCTGTTCGCTATTGCTTCTTCAGTGTATTTCTGCCACAAACATACAAAGTGCTTCTTCCTAGCAGAGTGACCTTGGGCAAGTTATTGAAACACCTGAGTCTTCCTTTCTTCCTCTGTAGAACGGAGGTACAGCAGAACCTGTGCATGACTGAATAGGACCGCATGAAACCCAGCACATGGCCCGCGGTGACTGGCCCACAGAAAGGGAAAATATTTCCCATTTTATCTTCCTAATGTTAATTATATTATGTTATGCTTAACATATTTGATAAAACATTGAAATAATTTCATGTATTATTTTCACCCATGACCACCCTGCTCTGATATACAGCTATTTCTTGCCTTACAACAGGGTTATGTCCCAATAAATTCATGGTAAATTGGAAATATTGAAAATTAGAAATAAATTTACTACGTGTACCCTACCAAACATCGTAGCTTACCAACACAGAAAAATGTAGGGTATCAGTTCTTTCCCTTCGTGACTGAGTCACAGAGTTGGAACCGTGGTTTGCTTTTGCCGCCCAGCCCCACAGGAGAGTATTATACAATGAATGGCTAGCCCAGGAAGAAACTAAATCCAAAGTTCAAAGGATGGCTTCTATTGAGTGTGTTTAGCTTTTATGCTACTGCAAAGTCAAAACATTTTAAGTTGAACTATCCATCATAAGTTGGAGGCCATTTGAATTTTCTTCCTCGCTTTGTGCATATAGGAATGTGTTAGGTCTGCTCGAGCTGCTATAACAAAGTACCACAGAGCAGATGGCTTAAATGACAAATGTTCGTTTATCACAGTTCCAGAGGCTGGGGAATCCAAGAATAAGGTGTTAGCATGTTCTGTTGCTTGTAAGGGTCTTCCTCCTGGCTTGTAGATGGCCGCCTTCTCGTTATGCCCTGTCACAGCAGGAAACTCTGTCTTTCTCCTTTCACAGGGACACTAATCCCAGCCTGGAGCCCCGCCCTCATGACCTCATCCAAACCTCACTACCCCCTGAACCATCATGCTGCAGGGTGGGCCTTCAGCAGTGTGAATCTGAGGGACACAATAGTCCATAGCAGGGTGATTATGTAAAACAAAGTGATTCTGCTTTTTATATTAAACCAACGGGCAGTATGAAACTAAACTTCATCTATGAAGGGCCAGATGGTATAAATTTTAGGTTTTTCAAGTCATATAGTTTATGCCATATCGTTTGAGTCATCTGACATCAGGCTTTTTGAGTCCTACGGTTATGTCCACAACTATTGGATTCTGTCAAACAAAGGTGACTATACTGTAGCAATGTAAACACACAAGGTGTGATCAAAATGTAAGGTGAATGTTTAAATTTTTTTAAAAAATTTATTATAGTAAAAAACACATTGCCGTAATCCCCCTCAAAAC